TTTCCAAGAGTCTGATTGCTACTCGAGTTGAAGTCAAGTATGGTTGCGGATGACTTTGAGAGCTTGTGGATGAGAATTCCTAAGAAGATCAAGAGTCTTCGTAGGATTATACTCAGTGCAGAGCCTGGATCGATGTGAATTCTTTCAATCTTTGACGACCCTATATACCTAGTGTAGTAAAGGGGTCGGTTGTGATAATGATCCTTGACTAGCATATATTCCGGGGTGAAGGTAATGTGCAGCATTTTCTTTCAGCATTGATAGCATTGCTCGGGTCCTTCATCTTGAGGAGGTTCAATCATGTGGGTGAGAAATGTCTCACTGTCATTCAGGACTTCTTTCAAAGCCTCTCTCATATTCTTAGACAAGCGCAATAGTTTGAATAAGGTGATACGAGTCGAAATATTGGCTAATTGTGCCATAATATCATATTTAAATGGGACCTTAGGATCATTTGGAGGACGTGGTAAGGCCTTGTCGAATCGGGTCTCCTTTTGTTTGGCTAGTTTGGGTTGTTTGGATGTTCTTAGCTTATTGTAATCCCTCACGTAATCTTTTTTGGATATCATCCCTATCATGGCTACTTTTTATCCGTCTAAATCGGTGAGCGAAGTGACATGCAAAGACTCTTCTTCGATGATCGCAGAGATGACATTGCAAGTCTTCATCCCTTGCTTGTTCTTAGGCCTCTGAAGAGTCCAATCTTTATCTTGAAGAAGATCAAGATGTACCCACATTATTTCTCCCCCTGCTATGGTGGGAGGAATCAAGCCTTAGATTTGTTGGTTTTAGCAGTCATAATTAACCACCTCCATTCTTGAGGTAGGAATAAGGACGACACCATTTTAGGCTTGAATTTCTAGCATAGAACCAAATTGGAGGGTCACTATATTAGTGGTGACTTTCTTTTGTTTAGGCTTGAGCTTGAGAATTCCCGATTGGATAAATGGCTGGATCTTATCCTTAAGAATGTAGCAGTTTTTCGTCAGGTGTCCTAACATTCTGTGATAGAGGCAGTAGTTGGAGTCATCGGTTTTTCCGACCTCTTCCGGGCGTCGAGCTTCTGGAATCTTTAAGCAATTTCCTTTGTTCAGGACATATAAGATAGTAATTGTATGTTCGTCTTTAAATGAATAATTGTGCTGGAAATTCTTCCTCGGTTCACTTTGTTGGCTGTTATTGGAATTCTGGACCCCAACAGTGAAAGTTTCATTGGCTTTCGGTTGTGACACCTGCCCTTGTTTGCCTTTGTTGCCCTTAAAGTTACCACGAGGTTCAAATTTATTAAAATGCTTTGCTGATTCTCGGCTATCACTACTTGCTCCATCAAATCCTTCCAAGTGTAGACAGTGACAGCGCCCATATGAGCTTCAATTTATGCCAAGAAATTATGCCGGCAAGTTTGAAGTAGCATTGGTAGTGGCATATCTCGACATCACAATATCAAATTGCGGTATCTTTCGATGTATTCTTTGACCATCTCATACCCGTTTTGTTTCTTAAAAAAGAATTGGTCATGGCAACATTGGATTGTTCCTCATGGAATTAAGAGAGGGACTTTGATTCTAAATCTTCTCAGGATCTGATTGAACCCTCAGGAAAATTTTGGAACAAATCAGGCGACCCTCTGAAGGATGCTAATGAAAAGTCATGCCTTAATGGCATTGTTACCCACTACATTTCCGGTTTACTGGTGGAAGTAGGAGATATATTGGTTCGGGGAACCTTTGCCATCGAACATATAAAGTGTTGGTGGATTAAACTTCATCGGATAGGAACCATGTCTCATTCGATGGAATAAGGTTGAATGATTCCAACCTTCTTAATCTGTGTTTATTGAGAAAGAACGTTGAGCTACTTCTGAATATCTTCCGAGGCTGAAATTTTTTCGATGGCTACGTGAGTATGTTACGAATCAAATGCTAAAATTTGTTATTTTTGGATAAGATTTCAATCCAAGGGCTCTTATTTACTGATGTTTACTATTAATAGGAGTAGAGAGTGAGGGGTTAAGGGTGTGAAAAATTGTGTATCTCCATTTGGAGAGGAGGATTACTCTTAATTGAGAAGACCTTCCAAACTTGTAACTTTTTGTTATAATTAATAAAAGAATTTTTTTACCACTTTAAATTTTTCTTTTCTTCTCTTTGTTGGATGATGAAGATGAAGATGGAGATTAATTTGAAGCTTTGTTTTTCTTATTTTCTCTTTTATTGCTTATTAGTTTAGATTTATTTTCATGCTTGTAGTTAGATTTTATTTTCTTGTTTAAATAGCCAAGAGGCTAGAACCCTCTTGTCTTAGATTTATTTCATGCTTGTAGATTAGATTTATTTCATGTTTATAGAGTAGATTTATTTTTTTGTATTTAATTCTTATAATTTATTTTATAGTTTAGATTTTATAATTTATTTTGTAGTTAGATTTTAATTTCTTACACTATTTACCTTGAGGCTAGAACCCTAGTTTTTCTTTTTATTTAGTTTTATTTTTTTATTCGTCTTTAGGCTAGAACCCTCTAGGGAATCACCCTTTTGTAAGAAGTGGATTCAATTCTAGATTACCCATATCTTTAATTGAATCCGCCATCTTTACTTTTTTGAATTTTATTTTCATTCTTGATTTTCCTTTTTGATTCTTGATTTTATTCATCTCTCATTGTGAAAATCATTCATTCATTGTCACACCCACTCTCACTTATATTTTATGCCTATTTACACATCATTTTCATTCTCTCTATCTCTCCATAATCACATTCACTCATCACTCCTAATTGTCACGCACACAACATAAGAACCGACTTTAATTTTCTCCTACAAAACACCTTCCTCATGGGATCGATAACTTTTTATACTATAACTTGATTAGTTGTGCACTTACAACTTTTTGGTATATGTTTATGCTGCATCAGTGCGCCATCTTCGGAAGTGGATGCCTTAGTCCATGTAGGCAAAGTTCATTAATTGGCGAACTTCACCTATGAGTTTGAATTTAGCTCAGAATTCAACTCTAGGCTTGACTGACCATTGACACTTTTTGACTTGGTCTGAAGCATGCTGCGAGGGTTGACTCGTATTTGACTTGGTCGAGTTGAGTCAATATGAGTTGCTTGGCAAGCTTCGCTTCAATCATCAAGTGACCTTCGTTGCAGCTTGTTGTAGGCTTGACTTCAGGTCCATTCGAAGTGTTTAACCCATGTGCGTTCACTTCTTGGAACTTTAGTGAAAATGCATTTTGACCATCTACATCCTTATCGAAAGCTACTTTTTAGAGGACGAGATCACCGATAACGAACCTACGGGGGTGAACTTTGCTATTATAGTGTCGGGTGATGCATTGTTGATTGACGACTTAGGATCGAAGGGCTTTTTCTTAGACTTTGTCAATGAGGCCGAGTCCAATTTGAAGACCCTTTGCATTCAAGTCTTCGTCAAAATGCCGTTGTCGGATTGTTGTCATGCCAACTTCAACTGGGGTGATCGCTTCGGTTCCATAGGCCAACTTGATAGGGTATCTCCTGTTGAGTTCTTGTGAGTGGTGCGGTAGGACCACATAATCCCAGGCAACTCTTCAACCTAATTTCCTGTCGTCGTGCCTACCTTCTTCTTCAAGGCTTAGAGGTTGCATTTGTTGGTGGCTTAGACAAGTCTATTGCACTTGGGATGAGCGATTGAAGAGAACTTGAGTCGAATGTTTCACTCTTCACAAAAGCTTCGGAAGCCCCCACTGTCGAACTGAGTGTCGTTGTCCATCATAAATAAGAGGGGTACACCAAATCGGTAGACAATGGACTTCCAAACAAAATTTGTGACATTACTTTCATCAATCTTAGCTAAAGGTTCGGCCTCGATCCACTTAATGAAGTAGCTAATAGCGATAATCAAGAACTTTCACTGCCCAAAAACTATGGGGAGAGGGCCCAACAAATCCAACCCTAACTGGGCGAAAGGAATTGGGCTCAGAATGGTGGTCAGCTCAGTGGTTGTTGCTTGTGGAATAGCTAAGAAGAATTAGTACTTCTTGTATAGAGAAATAATCTTTTTAGATTCAGCCAGTATGGTGGGCTAATATTACCCCTGACAAATGATCTTTTAGGCGAGAGTTCTAGCCCTATGGTGATTCTCGTAAGTCCCTTCATGAAACTCCCGGAGAACATAATTGGCTTCAGTAAGCTGAAAACACAAGAAGATAAGGTCCACACCACTGCTGGAGTATAACAACTGATAGAGTTTGCTATCGAGCATGAGATAGAGGCGAGCATTCCTTTGAAGACTCCTAGCTTCAGTGGCATTCTCTGGTACGATCCCTCGTATTAGATACTAGATGATGTGATTGATCAAATACGGCTCAACGGGTGTCTCAGCTTGCATGATAGCCTCTGGTGCCTTGATGATGTTGGGGCGCTCGAGGGTATCAGTGTACACTAATCTCAAACTACTTCTTGCATTGGTTGATCCGAGCCTGGATAGAGTAGCGTGGGGGACTTGGGTGATTCTAAAATCAGTGAAGTTGGCTAATAGATCTTTAGCCACCTTCAAATATTAGACCATCCTAGAATCTTTGGTCGCATACTCTTCATTCACCTTATGGACAATAAGTTGGGAGTTGGCCAAAATGTAAATGCGCTCGGATCTTACTGCTATGGCTTCTTGAAGACTAGCCAGAAGTGTATGGCCTCGTTGTTAGAGGCTGAAAATGCAAAAGCGATGGAGTGCTTGTACGTCAACCCATCTGATATGTGCAAGACTACTCATGCTCTACTGTCGGCCTCGCTAGAGGTTCCGTCTACCTTCAATAACCACCAAGAAGCAAACTCTAGTGAGCTACATTCAAGTGTGTGGCGCGTTCGAGGGGCAGGCATCTTGGCTACTTAAGGCATCGAAGGCTTTGGCTACACTGTCGGTAAGGGCGCATCTAATTCATCCTCCGATGAGGTGGATTCAATAAGGAAGTCAGCCAAGACCTGGGCCTTAATTTTCATACTTGGTTTGAATTGTGCATCATGCTCGCTGAGCTAGATTGACCAAGCGACCATTCTTCCTGAAGTGGTAGGGCTCCCAAGTGCCTTCTTTAGAGAAAAGATTGGGGCTCCCGAGTACCTTCTTCAGAGACAAGCTAGCTCGCACAATTATTGAATGAGCTTGGAAGTAGAGGCAGAGTCTTCTAGCAGTGGTGACGAGGATGAATAAAGCATTTTCGATGAGAGGGTAGTTAAATTCACCCACTTTAATATCTGGCTGACATAGTAGACTGACTTCTGGGTGTTCTTCTCTTCTTGAACTAGAACAGAGCTGACGGTTTCAGGAGAGATGGCCAGGTATAAACATAAGGTCTCCCCTTTCCTAGGTTGACTCAGCAGCAACTTAGTGCTCAAGTATGTCTTGAGATTACTGAAGGTTGCGCTACACTCGGCCATCCAACTCTTTCTTTCCTTTAGCTCCTTGCTTCCTCTCATAATCTTAAAAAATAGGAGGCTCCTCTCAGCGTATTTGGAGAGGAAGCGACCCAGTGTAGCTATATTCTTGTTCAAGCTCTGGATGTCCTTCAATGTGTGGTGCTCGGGTAAATGCTCTATGGTGGCTATCTTCTAAGGGTTGTTCTTAATACCTCTTTGGGTGATCATGAACCCAAGAAACTTTTCCAATTACACCACAAAATCACATTTGGCTGGGTTGAGCTTCATGTGGTAGCACTAAAGGACGGAGAAGGTTTCATCAAGGTTAGCTATGTGGGTCGATGCATGTTTCGACTTCACCAGGATATCGTTCACATAAGCTTCCATGTTTTGGCCAATCTGGGCCGTGAAGATCTTATTGACAAGTCGCTTGTAGGTGGCACCGACATTCTTGAGACCGAACGAAGGGCATCACCTTATCACAATAGGTCCCTTGGTCTGTAATAAATGAGGTCTTCTCTTGGTCATGCTCCTCCATATAGATCTGATTGTAGCCAGAGAAGTCATCCATGAAGCTGACTAGTTTGTGTACTGTGCTCCCATCAACTAGCCAATCGATCCGAGGAAGGGGGTAGCTATATTTTGGGCATGCCTTGTTGAGATCAGTGAAGACTACACACATCCTCCACTTGTTAAGAGCCTTCTTCTCCAGCACCATATTAGATAGCCATTCGGGGTATTGTACCTTCCGAATGAATCCGACTCTTAGGAGTTGATCGACTTTATCGGCTACCGCCTTCCGCCTCTCAGGGTCGAGATATGTTTCTTCTATTGAACCAGCTTAGTGTCGATCGACTGTGAACTCATAGTTCATCACTTCAGGTAGAATCCTCAGCATATCTTCTGGTCCCCCGATGAATACGTCAGTGTTCGCCAATAGGAATGTAATCATCTCCTGTTGTTGAGGCACAATGAGGTCGAATCAGATCTTGACCTTCTTCAATCCTTCTTGGTCGATCAGTATCTTCTGAAGCTCCTTAACGGGAGTCATCCTCCCTCGGTCCAATTCTTTCTCCATCTAGAAGCAAGCTTTTGCGATAGGCAGGATCTCTTGTACTCCTTTTCCCTTTGTTAAGAGGAGATAGTAGGACTTGATCTCTAGTTGATTGCTTCTAGCCATGCCGACTACTTTCAGGGTCAGAAATTTCATCATCTCATGATATGTGGAGGGGACAACCTACAACAGATGGAGGGAAGTTTTGTCCAGTATGATGTTGTGGGCGGACATGATATCCATTACCACAAACTAGACCTGAACGGTGGTTTGTCGGGGGTACTCACCCACCGTTAGGGGGAGTGTGATCATTCCCTCTGGCTGGAGTGCATGCCCTTTAAAGTTGATGGGCGGTCCCAAACAAGACTGTAATAGGGACTTGTCGATGCCCATCTGGTTGAAGGCGTCGATATACATGATATCAACAGAGCTTCCCATATCGACCATGATCCTCTTGACTTGAAAGTCGTCAATGTCAACCGTAATAACAATGGGATCACCATGAGGTGTCTCCACGTCCTTCAAGTCATCATTGCTGAAGGATATAGGTTCTTCTCCTCTTGGCCTCATATCACATACATTCACCAGAAATGCTCACTTGGCATATCTCTTCTGAGCGTTGTTAGATGATTCTCCAATGGTGGGACTGCTACTAATGGTGTTGATGACCCTATTATGGCTAGGTTTGGTGATTTTACTATCAGGTGGTGGTTGAGGGCAAGGTAACCAGGAGAGAGACCTCCTGTCAGTTCCTGCTGTGGCGGCTTCCTTCCGATCCCTCGGGGAAAATTCTTCCTAAGTTACTCTCTCTATATAAAGTCCTTGATATCCTTTGAAGAACTCAGCAATCATTGGTTAGATGGCCATAATCCTTGTGGTATCCGCAGTATTGCCGAATGTCTCGATTATAAGGATCTGTTTCATTCGAGTAAGGGTAGAATTAAGATATCCTTCCCACTAAACCATATAGAGTGCCTCAATGAGAGAGGTATTGAGGACTGTGAGAACTAGTTTGGGCACCGACTCCCTCTTTAAGCCCCTCTTGTTGGACCGATTTGGGTGGTAGTCGGCTCTAGGGGGATAGCTTGCCTACTAGGGTCTTGGAAGGAGATCCCTAGCCGACTCTTATAGTGGTTGTGCTGCCTGGGCTATTGCGGGGGCTATCAGTGTGGCTGATGCAATAGGAGTTGCTGAAACTAAAATTGCTGCTACTGCTAGGGTTGTTGGTGTCACCGCTGCGGCCACTGCCATTGCCACTTTTGTTGCTCTGGCTACATTCTTGTAGGCTCAGGCATCCTCCATGTCCATGTATACATGAGTCTTGGCCATCAACTGCTCGTAGGTGGAGCATCGCTTCTTGGCGAGTGAGTCGGCCAACTTATTATTTGATAGGTCGGCTACAATGATCGACATGGCGATCGTGCTCTCTGAGTTGTCAACCTCTAGCCGCTTTGCTTAGAACTTCTTGAAATAGCTTCAAAGGATTTCTCCATGCTCCTACTTTATCTGTATCAACACATGAGCATGTAACCTTTGCTTGGTATCAGCCAAGAAGTGGTGCACGAACTTCTGGCTGAGTTGTTCGAAGCTGCCGATGGACTTCTTCTCTAGAGAGTTCCACTAGAGCTTAGCGCTTCCCGATAATGTGATGAGAAAGCTCTTGCAAATAACGGCTTCGGGCACCTATAATATGCTCATCATGTCATAGTAATTCTAGACATGCTCTGTAGGATCTCTCTCGCCCTTATACTTCTCTACCCGGGGCATCTTTAATTTCTCATAAGTAGCATTCATGATGTTATCGGTGAGAGGAGTGTGTCCCCCAATGGCTTCGATGATTGGTCGGTATGTTCGATCATAATCGGAGGCCACGTAAGTAACTGAGGGGCCTGGAACGACGTGATAACATTGAGATCTCGCTGAGCTCCTATGTTGGTGTGTTCCCTTCCATCACGATCAGGGTTAAGACTCTCCCCAGTCACCTTCATGTATGGAGGGTAGCGCTGGTGAGAATCTACTCGGCGGGTCGACTAGCATGGAGGTAGAGATGCTTGCTCGATGTGGCTTCTCTGTTGTACGGCATGGGCAACATGCAAAGGCAGAGGATGAGCTTTGAGTTGGGCTTCTAGAGGGTGAGTTGTTGAAGGCTGGTCCTCTGATGGTAGAGGAGCAATGGAGTAAGCGGGTTGAGGAGGAGGGATCCGATAAAAGAGTTCAGTGGTGAAAGTAGCAAATTGTTGTTGGAAGGCTTGAGTGATCCGTTGGGTGGATTCTTCAAGATGAGCTTGGGTAACATAGACTGGATGTGATGCTCCGAGGGTGGACTGATCAGGCATGTGCTCAGAATCAGACATGATTGGTCGGAGAAGAAAGAAAGCACCACAGTGAGTACCAAACTATTGATGGCGGATATCAAACAGTTAAATGAAAGAAGTGATTACGTTGACGGAAGTCCTCTAACCCTCTGAATGTCTGATTCTGGAGTAGGCTATTCTTTCCTACACAAGTAGCAAATCGTATGAGGGCAACGTTGGGTTCCTTGGTTGTTCCTCTGATGATCAAGTCAGTGATTTGTTTGAGTAGAGAAGTAAAATGAACTGCAGTAATTCTTAAGCACAGGGGGTAGAGGTAATGATCTTATCTTATTATTGAAAATAGTTTCCCTATTTATAGTGGTTGTAGAAGGGTAGAATAGTAACTTTGGCTGAGTATGGAATACCAACCACGTTAGCCTCTGCTTTACAGGTGTCAGCTGATGAGTGAAGGAGGGGTCACTTTAGTATTTAATACACAGTGATTGGGGGTGTACGGTACCGACATGGTCTGATGTGTCGTAAAGACTATTGGGGGCAGATGAATAATAGCGCCCATAATGCATTTAATAATATTTATTATGAGGTGATTGGTTGCCAGTGCGTGGGAGGGGGCTCGAGGCTTGAGGTATTTCATCATATTTCTACTCATCCAGTGGTCGAGAAGTACTACCTTTTGAGTCGCCTTCGCAAGATATCGGCTGAATGAATGGTCGGGTAGGTCAATCAGGGAGTCGACCCAGCCAATGGTCGACATGTAACGCCATTTGAGTCATCCTCACGAGATGTTGGTGTGTCGGGTATTGTGTTATTTTAAAGTGCTGGCTCGATTACGCATAATGTAGAACACTTATCTGCCCTTGATTTGAGATTACTTTTTAGCACTAGAATGACTATAACAATATTGATTATCCAAATCATTATAAAATCTTATGAGTTCTGATTATAATTATTCATTATTACATTGCTCATTATTTTATTATTATTATTTTATTTTTGCTGCATAGTTTGTGTTTATCAAAAAACAGTAGATAACTCTATTCACCTCCCTCTTAGCTAGCGTCTCAGATTCACACATCACTCTAGCGTGTGTGTGTGTGTGTGTGTGTGTGTGTATGGTCGGGTAGGTCAATCAGGGAGTCGACCCAGCCAATGGTCGACATGTAACGCCATTTGAGTCATCCTCACGAGATGTTGGTGTGTCGGGTATTGTGTTATTTTAAAGTGCTGGCTCGATTACGCATAATGTAGAACACTTATCTGCCCTTGATTTGAGATTACTTTTTAGCACTAGAATGACTATAACAATATTGATTATCCAAATCATTATAAAATCTTATGAGTTCTGATTATAATTATTCATTATTACATTGCTCATTATTTTATTATTATTATTTTATTTTTGCTGCATAGTTTGTGTTTATCAAAAAACAGTAGATAACTCTATTCACCTCCCTCTTAGCTAGCGTCTCAGATTCACACATCACTCTAGCGTGTGTGTGTGTGTGTGTGTGTGTGTGTATATATATATATATATAACTGAGAATTGACCATTTTGACTCTAGATGCGAGTCTGCTAGT